TCATATCCCCCCCTTATGTATTATACATGGAGATCATATCCCCCCTTATGTATTATACATGGAGATCATATCCCCCCCTTATGTATTATACATGGAGATCACATCCCCCCTTATGTATTATACATGGGATCATATCCCCCCTTATGTATTATACATGGAGATCATATCCCCCCTTATGTATTATACATGGTGATCATATCCCCCCTTATGTATTATACATGGAGATCACATCCCCCCTTATGTATTATACATGGTGATCATATCCCCCCTTGGGGTACCCCACTAATAACACTGACCCTTGGGGTACCCCACTAATAACACTGAGCCTTTGGGTACCCCACTAACCCCTTCCATATACTGAGCACTTTTACCCCCTTCCTTCCCCCAGGCCATTTTTCAGGTTTCTGTCTCTCCACTTTCAGTGACAATTGCGCGATCATACAACATTGTACCCAAACTAAAATTTGGGGGATATCTGTACCGTCCCGACATTTGGGGGATATCTGTACCGTCCTGACATTTGGGGGGATATCTGTACCGTCCTGACATTTGGGGGATATCTGTACCGTCCTGACATTTGGGGGATGTCCGTATTGTCCCGACATTTGGGGGATGTCCGTACCGTCCCGTCCCAGACATTGGGGGATGTCCGTACCTTCCTGACATTTGGGGGATATCTGTACTGTCCTGACATTTGGGATATATCTGTACTGTCCCGACATTTGGGGGGATGTCCGCACCCGTCCCGACATGTGGGGGATGTCCGCACCGTCCCGACATGTGGGGGATGTCCGCACCGTCCCCAAATGAACATTTGGGGATGTCTGCACCGTCCCGACATTTGGGGATGGGGATGTCACCGTCCCCACATTTGATCACCGTCCCGACATTTGGGGGATGTCATATCACCGTCCCGACATTTGGGGGATGTCCGCACCGTCCCGACATTTTGGGGGATATCTGTACCGTCCCGACATTTGGGGGATTACCTGTACCGTCCCGACATTTGGGGGATCTCTGAGTCCCGTCCCCGACATTTGGGGGGTTCTCTGTCCTGTCCCGACATTTTGGGGATCTCCCGTACCGTCCCGACATTTTATCTCCGTACCGTCCCGACATTTGAGGGATCTCCGTACCGTCCCGACATTTGGGGTATGTCTGTCCCGTCCCGACATTTGGGGGATCTCCGTACCGTCCCCGACATTTTGGGGATCTCCGTACCCGTCCCGACATTTGGGGATCTCCGTACCGTCCCGACATTTGGGGGGGTGTACCCGTGTCCCGTCCCGACATTTGGGGGATCTCTGTCCCGTCCCGACATTTGGGGTATGTCTGTCCCGTCCCGACATTTGGGGGGATGTCTGTCCCGTCCCGACATTTGGGGGATCTCTGTCCCGTCCCGACATTTGGGGGATCTCTGTCCCGTCCTGACATTCTTGGACCGACATTCGTGGACCTCAGGAAATGAGATTGGCTGTCAGTCCTTCAGGATTGATCAATACTCAGATATCTCCCATAGTTTGTGAACTCTATAACTTCCCTTCAGACTAAATCATAAATCCTAATTTGGGTTTTTTCACCCCAGAAATGGAGCAGAAAACATCTCGGCCTAAATTTCTGAAGAACAATTATTTATTTGGAAACTTTTATAACAGAAATAAAGAAAAACGTTTTATTTTCAAAATTTTTGGTGTTTTGAGAAGAAAATGAAGCCATCCATTGTATACAACTGTCATGTGACCTGCAGTGATTGGTCACAGCAGGTCACATGGTACTGACAATGGGGCGGTACACAGATCTGTCATTTGCCGTGTCCGTGTCCGAGGTACGTGGTCGGTGACAGATCCCGCCGCTGCACGGCTCTGCGGGGAGGCAAACTGCGCATTCCTGGAAGGACTCCATATGGCTTCCACCCGGAGGGGGACGAGGTGCTCAACCCGCCACCATCTGGCCATAGTCACCCCCAGACCATGCAGAGTATGAATCATTAACCACTACTCTCTGAATACGATCTTTCAGCCAGTTTTCTATCCATTTACATTCATATTATTCCAGACTCTACCTTACACATTAGCCGTGTGTGGGGAACTGTGTCCAAGTATACCACGTCCACCGCCACCCCCTCTGTCCGAGTATACCACGTCCACCGCCACCCCCCTCTGTCCGAGTATACCACGTCCACCGCCACCCCTCTGTCCCGAGTATACCACGTCCACCGCCACCCCTCTGTCCGAGTATACCACTTCCACCGCCACCCCTCTGTCCGAGTAAGGTATGACCACCCTCTGTCCGAGTACCCACGTCCAGCGCCACCCTCTCGGTCCGAGTATACCACGTCCACAGCCACCCCCTCTGTCTAAGGATACCACGTCCACAGCCACCCCTCTGTCCAGGATTTGCTCACCTCCAATCTAACCGGTTTCATGATGGTTTAATCCAGCTCACCTCTACATGTTGTCTACAGTAAACATTTCAGCTTCCACTGATTACAGAATACTAATACTGAGAGTCCTGACCCCTATACTATATAACTTGTACATTACATACTCCTGACCCCTGCACTATATACTCTATGTTGTACATTACATACTCCTGACCCCTGCACTATATATACTCTGTGTTGTACATTACATACTCCTGACCCCTGCACTATATACTCTATGTTGTACATTACACTCCTGACCCCTGCACTATATACTCTGTGTTGTACATTACATACTCCTGACCCCTGCACTATATATACTCTATGTTGTACATTACATACTCCTGACCCCTGCACTATATACTCCGTGTTGTACATTACATACTCCTGACCCCTGCACTATATACTCCGTGTTGTACATTACATACTCCTGACCCCTGCACTATATACTCCGTGTTGTACATTACATACTCCTGACCCCTGCACTATATATACTCCGTGTTGTACATTACATACTCCTGACCCCTGCACTATATACTCTGTGTTGTACATTACATACTCCTGACCCCTGCACTATATACTCTATGTTGTACATTACATACTCCTGACCCCTGCACTATATACTCCATGTTGTACATTACATACTCCTGACCCCTGCACTATATATACTCCATGTTGTACATGTTTACATACTCCTGACCCCTGCACTATATACTCCATGTTGTACATTACATACTCCTGACCCCTGCACTATATACTCTATGTTGTACATTACATACTCCTGACCCCTGCACTATATACTCCATGTTGTACATTATATACTCCTGACCCCTGCACTATATACTCTATGTTGTACATTACATACTCCTGACCCCTGCACTATATACTCCTGTGTTGTACATTACATACTCCTGACCCCTGCACTATATACTCCGTGTTGTACATTACATACTCCTGACCCCTGCACTATATACTCTATGTTGTACATTACATACTCCTGACCCCTGCACTATATACTCCATGTTGTACATTACATCCTCCTGACCCCTGCACTCCCCCTCCCCCCACTGTATATATATACACATAATATGTCTTCTCCTCTGTTCCCCCCATTTCCTCCCAGCTGGACATTTTATATCGATGATGTGATTGGAGTACAGACTTTTACATGGTGATAATAATGTGATAACACCCTCCAACCAGAAAGTGATAATGGGGGAGGAGTCAATACCCCAATGATGGTGGTCTTCAGGATGAGGGAGGAGTCAATACCCCAATGATGGTGGTCTTCAGGATGGTGGTCTTCAGGATGGGGAGGAGTCAATACCCCAATGATTCAGGTGGTCAATACCCCAGGGTCAGGATGGTGGAGTCAATACTCCAATAATGGTGGTCTTTAGGGTCAGGATGAGGGAGGAGCCAATACCCCAATTATGGTGGTCTTCGGATGGGGGAGGAGTCAGTACCCCAATGATGGTGGTCTTCAGGGTCAGGATGGGGGATGGGGAGACAATACCCCAATGATGGTGGTCTCAGGATGAGGGAGGAGTCAATACCCCAATGATGATGGACATTTTTTAGGGTCAGGATGGGGTAGGAGTCAATACCCCAATGATGGTGGTCTTCTGGGTAGGGATGGTGGAGTCAATACTCCAATGATGGTGGTCTTGGGGAACAGGATGAGGATGGGGGAGGAGTCAATACCCCAATGATGGTGGTCTTCAGGATCAGTCCAGTCTTCATCTTGGTTGTTCTCCCCCATCCTCACTCTCTGACCTCTGGTGGGGCTCAGCCCCGCTGTTCTTCATGACTAAATCATGGAGTAAATAAGGAAGTGCAGTACTTCTTGTGTTGGGAAGATGGCGATGAGTGATAGAGGGGGTGGGGACCCTCGTCCTATAATCCCCTCATCACTGTCCCTCCTATAAAAGACAGTTCTGGTTGTTTCCTCACTCTCTACTAAGGTCCATGAATAAAGAAATGACCTGGTAGGAGATCAGAGGAGCCATTTCCTAGTTCCCTTGAGGGTGGAATTGTAAGCTCCTCAGAGACCAAGCTGCCTGATGTGGGCGGAGTCCTGGTTTGGGGGAACCAATCAGCTCCTGTCTAGTAATCCTCTTTGTCTTTGTATTTTAGTCCATGGCCGGGAGATGAGGAAAACCTCCGAGGATTGTCTCACTTTGTCTCCAGACTGGAAAGTAGAAGATGAGGACATCACACAGTATAGTCCAGGAGAAAACCCGGCTCCCTCCAATGTCCATCCGGCACCACCCAGTGTAGATGGACCATCGGATTCCTATATCCTGAGGAACCTCAGACTGTGCGGGACCGGGCCGGCCTTCCAACAGGGAAGAGCTTCTCCTGTCCTGAGTGCGGGAAATGTTTCCAATATAAATCCGGTCTTAATAGGCATATGAAAGATCTCACACGGGAGAGAAGCCGTATTCCTGTCCTGAGTGTGGGAAAATGTTTCCAATTTAAATCTATAAATCTCACACGGGGGAGAAGCCGTACTTAATGAGCATACTAAAAAATCTCACACGGGGGAGAAGCCGTATTCCTGTCCTGAGTGCGGGAAATGTTTTTTTTACAGAAGTCCCATCTTCACTCACATCAAAGATCTCACACGGGGGAGAAGCCGTATTCCTGTCCTGAGTGCGGGAAATGTTTTTCACAGAAGTCTCATCTTCACTCACATCAAAGATCTCACACGGGGGAGAAGCCGTATTCCTGTCCTGAGTGCGGGAAATGTTTTTCACAGAAGTCCCATCTTAACTCCCATCAAAGATCTCACACGGGGGAGAAGCCGTATTCCTGTCCTGAGTGCGGGAAATGTTTTTCACATAAGTATCATCTTCACTCGCATCAAAGATCTCACACGGGGGAGAAGCCATATTCTTGTCCTGAGTGCGGGAAATGTTTTCACATAAGTCCCATCTTCACACACATCAAAGATCTCACACGGGGAAAAGCCGTATTCCTGTCCTGAGTGCGGAAAATGTTTTTCACAGAAGTCCCATCTTAACTCACATCAAGATCTCTCACAGAGGGGAGAAGCCGTATTCCTGTCCTGAGTGCGGGAAATGTTTTTTTCACAGAAGTCCCATCTTCACAGACATGAAAGATCTCACACGGGGGAGAAAAGCCATATTCCTGTCCTGAGTGCGGGAAATGTTTTTCAGAGACATGTCTAGTCTTTACACACATCAAAGATCTCACACGGGGGAGAAGCCATATTCCTGTCCTGAGTGCGGGAAAATTTTTTCAAAGAAGTGCCATCTTCACACACAGAAAGATCTCACACGGGGGAGAAGCCGTATTCCTGTCCTGAGTGTGGAAAATGTTTTTCAAAGAAGTGCCATCTTCACACATACATCAGGCGATCTCACACGGGGGACGGGGGAAGCCGTATTCCTGTCCTGAGTGCGGGAAATGTTTTTTACAGAATTCCGATCTTCACACACATCAGAGATCTCACACGGGGGAGAAGCCGTATTCTGTCCTGAGTGCGGGAAATGTTTTTTCAAAGAAGTCCAATCTTCACAAACATCAGAGATCTCACACGGGGGGAGAAGCCGTATTCCTGTCCTGAGTGCGGGAAATGTTTTTTCAAAGAAGTCCAATCTTCACACTTACATCAGAGATCTCACACGGGGGAGAAGCCACTTTCCTGTCCTGAGTGCGGGAAATGTTCCTCACTGAAGTCCTGTCTTCCTGTACATCACGGGGGGATTATATCGGGTAGACAGATCAGACCGGGGTCAGTCCTTATTGGGGGCGGAATGGGGAAAGATGGGGGGGGAGGGCTATGGCAGATGGTAAGAAGGTTCCCATGTTACAAAAAACAACAGTGGAATTGGTACCATTTGTATGAAAATAAAAAATACACAAAATCCGTGTGAACAAGGTGTCAGTGAATGAAGGAGGTATCAGGGAATGGTGTCAATGAAGGAGGTGTCAGTGAATGAAGGAGATGTCAGTGAATGGACAAGGTGTTGGTAATGGACAAGGGTCTCAGTGAATGGACAAGGTGTCAGTGAATGAAGGGTGTCAGTGAATGGGGTGTCTTATTGGGGGTGAATGAAGGAGGTGTCAGTGAATGGAAGTGTTTGTTCCCCAATGCCAGAAGTCTGCCCAGCACAATAGGTGAGTTGGAAGGTTTGGTGAATGAAGAGAACTAGGATTGGATTGGTATTGCTGAATCTTGGCTTCATTCCTCACATGACTGGGCCATTCATATTCCTGGCTAGGTTTCTTTCGCAAGAGAAGTCTGGGGAATAGGAAAGGGGGTGGAGTCTGTCTGGAATAGGAAAGGGGGTGGAGTCTGTCTGGAATAGGAAAGGGGGTGGAGTCTGTCTGGAATAGGAGGGGGGTGGAGTCTGCGGGGGAATAGGAAAGGGGGTGGAGTCTGTCTGGAATAGGAAAGGGGGTGGAGTCTGGAATAGGAAAGGGGTGGAGTCTGTCTCTGTGAGAAGTGATCTCAGCGAGTGTGAGAGGACCTAGTTGATGGAGAGTGTGATGAGGCTGAAGTATTATGGGTGGAGCTGCACATGGGGGGCGGTACTACAAAGGTCATCATTGGAGTTTGTTATAGGCCTCCCAGTGTTAATGAGGAGGTGGAGACTCAGCTCCTCCCACAGATGGAAAGGGCGGGGACAGTGATAATAATGGGGGATGGTAACTACCCGGAAACTGACTGGAGTAATGGGACTGCAAGAACAGTTAAAGGACAAAAATGTATAAACCTACTACAGGACAATTGTATGGTTCAGTTCATAGAGGCCCCAACTAGGAATGATGCTCTGCTGGACCTGGTCATAGAGGCCCCAACTAGGAATGATGCTCTGCTGGACCTGTGTCATAGAGGCCCCAACTAGGAATGATGCTCTGCTGGACCTGCGTCATAGAGGCCCCAACTAGGAATGATGCTCTGCTGGACCTGTGTCATAGAGGCCCCAACTAGGAATGATGCTCTGCTGGACCTGGTCATAGAGGCCCCAACTAGGAATGATGCTCTGCTGGACCTGTGTCATCTCCAACCATGCAGAGATTATTACGGCCCCAACTAGGAATGATGCTCTGCTGGACCTGGTCATAGAGGCCCCAACTAGGAATGATGTCCGCAGCTGCTGGACCTGGTCATCTCCAACCATGCAGAGATTATTACGAATGTCCATATATAGAACATGTCAGGGATCGCTGTGGCGCCTATCCCGGCGCACGCGCACAAGCGGCGGCTCACGCCGGGACACAAGCACCAGGTCCCGGCGGTCCGCAGCTGACAGGACGCCGCGCATGCGCAGTAGGAGCGCCGCGGGGCGCGCCTTGGGCGGCCAATGATAGTGCAGGGCGCAATATTTAAAGATGCCCTGCACTGTCACTGTGATTGCTGCAAGGTCTATCTGTGATCCTGAGGTCCTGTACCTGTGTTTTGACCCTGATTGCCCTGACTACGCTGCCGTCTCCTGTGTTTTTGACCCTTATTGCCCTGACTACGCTGCCTTCTCCTGTGTTTTGACCCGGATTGTCCTGACTACGCTGCCTTCTCCTGTGTTTTGACCCGGATCGTCCTGACTACGCTGCCTTCTCCTGTGTTTTGACCCGGATCGTCCTGACTACGCTGCCTTCTCCTGTGTTTTGACCCGGATTGCCCTGACTACTCTGCCTTCTCCTCTCCTGATCCCCGGCTTGTTTGACCTATCTGCGAACTGACTTATCCTGCTGACTCTGCGTGTGACCTGACTACTCTCTGCCTGCCGATTCTGTACCTCGCTTACCCCACGGGACCACTGCTCGTGACCCATCCTGCTTGGTCCCGCCGTCCTCCTCACATCTGGCTCTCCCGGTACCTATACATCCCCGGAGGTTGCCTCTGCCACTGGTGGGCCTGCTCAGAGGTCGTGACCTGGCCCTGGTCTGTTACAAATCCATCCCCACCATCAGGGGCCCTGGTGAAAGCACAGACTGGGACTTAGACTCCACGCTTTGGGTAGGTCTGTCAAGTGGGCAGCCGGAGGCACCACCTGGCGGATCATAACAGTACCTTGCGGCCATGACAGAGCCAGGAAGAGGACCGGCGTCCCTAGAGGATATATGCCAGCACCTGGCAACTCTGACCCAGGCCGTCCAGAATTTTCACAGCCGCGCTGCACCCGTCTTGAGGACCGCATGGAGACGTTAGCCACCCTGACTCCCCCTGCTCCGAGTCCCTCAACTGCGGAATCACCCGCTACCCCAGCATCCAGAGCAGTTGCCGCACCCCTAGCTCCCAAACCCCGCATTCCCATGCCGGAATGATTCCGTGGAGACCGAAGCCGCTTCCGGAACGCATGCACCTTGTTTTTTGATTTACAGCCCCGCACGTTCACCGCCGAGACCGTCAAGGTGGGGTTTATAATCTCTCTCCTTCAGGATGAGCCCCAGGATTGGGCTCACCGTCTGATGGAGAAGCACGACCCCCATCTTGATTCGGTGACTGAGTTCTTTCAGGCCATGGCTGTCCTATATGACGACCCCCAGCGGGCTGCTTCCGCAGGGGCTACCCTATACTCACTGCGGCAAGGCCGCCGGGCAGCCGAAGAATATGCGTCCGATTTTAGGCGCTGGATGGGAGATACCAGATGGAACGATGCGGCATTATGTCACCAGTTCCGCATCGGGCTGTCTGAGTCGCTAAAAGATGAATTAGCACGAGTAGTAGGGCCTACCTGACTCCCTTGAGAAATTGATAGAGTTGGCCATCCAAATTGACCGCAGACTGAGAGTACGTCGGCTGGAAAGGAGCAGCCAGGGTCAAAGGGTGGCATGGATTCCACCGAGAGAAGCAGCTCCAGCCCCAGGGAACCATACCCGGAGCAGGGAACCAGGGGACACCTCGGAACCCATGCAACTGGGACTGGCCCGTTCCACTTTATCAGTCGAGGAACGCCAGAGGAGACGATCGCAGAACCTATGTCTGTACTGTGGGGAAGCTGGTCACCAGGTGCGCTCCTGTCCTGCAAAAATGAGTAAGTCCGCTTCCTGTTTTCCTTTACCTACAGAAAGGGGTGATCTGTCTAGTTACCTGGCAATACCTGTGTCGTTACAGCTTCCCGGAGGAAGCCTGTCGGTGACCGCAATCATTGATTCGGGAGCATGTAGTTGTTTCATCGATCTTACTTTTGCTCACCGGCAAAAAATCCCCTCCAGACAAAGAAAGGGGGTTTAACATCTTCCTGGCAGACGGGTCTAGCATAAAATCAGGGGTGGTGGATCAGGAGACACACCTATTTTTACCACGAATGGCTGACCATCATCAGAGTTCCTCCGTCTGGATGCCATCGCATCCCCCCTTTTTCCAATCATTCTGGGCTCCCTTGGCTGCGGGCCCCATAACCCCCAGGTTGATTGGGAGAAGGGAAACAGTTCAATTTCAGTCACCATACTGTCTGTGAGTCACTGCCACGTCACAGGGTCCGTGGCTCCCCGGTTTCTTCTGTGCATGGATGGTGATACAGATATTTCTCAGGTTATTCCTCCGGCCTACCACGACTTCCTAGACGTATTCAGTAAACGAGGAGCAGACATTCTTCCCCCGCACCGTTCATACGATTGCCCCCATAGACCT